GTCTGCTATTTAGTGTGATATAATACAGTGTAATGTAGTATACAGAAAACATTCTACTTCTAACATTAGAGTTGTATATTCTACCAATTAATGAGGATACAAACTGTTTCACATTTCCAAGGTGGCAATGGCAGAGTTCAGGGTGTGATTTCCCCCCCTATTCCTTGTGGATGTATTGATGAGTTTTAATTACTTAGTCATTGGACAAACTCAAGATCTTTGTCTCTCTTCTGAGGCTACCATTGCTACAGGTGCATTTACAAGTAGCACCTCATAAGCTGTTAAATAAAATGGCACCTCTTTATAATACAGGTGTGAAAAAGGATTGCTTCCACTTTTACAGGTAAACTCTAAGATGAGTAGTTATAATAAATTGAGGGGCATAATTTGGATCAGGATATGTATGAGACAAGTGATTTAGAAAATTATTACATAGGATTCCATTGAATTTTCAAAGGTATCTCTCTAATTCTGAACGTAGGTGTTTCTTGCATCATCAGTTTAATATGAACTTCAGAATATAAACTTGTCATGGGAGACAATCAGTGTAGATTGATACAAAGTTAATCGTCATGAGCTTCATCAACACAATTTCTGTTAAGATGAGGTGTAGTTTGTTGAACATCCATCCATCTTTCCTCCAGAAATATGAGTAATGGTCTTATACTTTTAATTTGCACTTAGAGTCTGTATGTTAAAAAAACAAAAACGTACAAATAGCTAGGAAATGAATGATTAGACATATGAATGTTTGAAATTCAAATAGTGTCATGGGAAAATATTTTTACTATAGTAAGTACATCTCTGATGTCTTCAGGGGAAATTGAAGAGTATTTTATTGACTAAGATCAAACAATCTGTAATTACCACCCAGAGGCACAAAGTAAAATTGTAGCAAGTAGAGCCAGCATTAGGTTGCATCACATAGGCAGGCACTATTCAGGTATATGCCCAGGCATTTCCTTGGAGAGTTCACATAGGTTTACCAGAAAGCCCATCCCACCTGGCATTAGTTGCCCTTCTCTACCATGTCTGAGTTTGTTTATTTTTATTTTTGAGGTCCTCAACAAACATCAAATAACTAGAAAGCAGAAACAAGCATTCTGGTTAATTTAAATGCATAGTTATTTCTTTCTTTCCAACTTTTAAGAAAATATTTGTAAATTTTTAAAATTTATTATCAATGTATCTGAATGCACATGAATCTTTTTGGCATGATTCTTGTGGTCAGAACATTTTATTCTCCTGCATGTAAATCATCAATATGCTCCTATTGCAAGTTAAATAAAATGCACAAGTCTTACCCTGGACAAAAAGGACTTCCTTAAAGATCTGAATCCAGCCTGCATTTCCTGAAACTCCCGTCAGTCCCTAAATTCCAGCTTTATAAAATTGCCTTCAGTTCAGTACCCTGTCTTTACACCCTTGTGGCTTTCCCCATAGAGTTGGAGTGATTTTTAAGATTACAAATTTTATCATTTCACTAACCTCTCTTTTTAAATCTTGCAATGTTTTTTTCCCCAAAATATTTATTGAAAAAAATCCACATATAAGTGGACTTGCACAGTTCAAACCCATGTTGTTAAGGGTCAAATATATATAGAATCATACAATATGTGACCAGCTTCTCTCATCTAGCATAATATTTTAAGGTACATCCTTATAGTAGCATATCTAAGTATTTCATTCTTTTTTTTTACGTTGTACAGTTACTTTATTTTATTTTTTTAATTTTGTTTTATTTCTTAAAATATTACAAAGAGTAGTACATATGTCTCCTTTTTATTTTCCCCCTTGACCTTCCCTTGCCTCCCCTACCCACCCCTCCCAGTGTCTTGTGTCCATTGGTTATATTTATATGCATGCATACAAATCCTTTGGTTGATCTCTTACCGCCCCCCCACCACCACCCAACCCTCCCCGGCCTTTCTGCTGTAGTTTGACAGTCTGTTCAATGCTGATCTGCCTCTGTATCTATTTTTGTTCATCATGTTATAATGGTCTTTATTATCCGTACATGAGTGAGGTCATGTGGTATTTTTCTTTCATTGGTTGGCTTATTTCACTTAGCATAATGCTCTCCAGTTCCATCCATGCTGTTGCAAATGGTAAGAATTCCTTCTTTTTTACAGCAGCATAGTATTCCATTGTGTAGATGTACCACTATTTTCTAATCCATTCATCTGTTGATGGGCACTTAGGCTGTTTCCAAATCTTAGCTATGGTGAATTGTGCTGCTATGAACATAGGGGTGCATATATCCTTTCTGATTGGTGTTTCTGGCTTCTTGGGATATATTCCTAGAAGTGGGATCACTGGGTCAAATGGGAGTTCCATTTTTAGTTCTTTGAGGAAACTCCATACTGTCTTCCATAGTGGCTGCACCAATCTGCATTCCCACCAGCAGTGCACGAGTGTTCCTTTTTCTCCACATCTTCTCCAGCACTTGTCGTTTGTTGATTTGTTGATGATAGCCATTCTGACAGGTGTGAGATGGTACCTCATTGTTGTTTTGATTTGCATCTCTCGGATGACTAGTGACTTTGAGCATGTTTTTGTATGTCTCTTGGCTTTCTGAATGTCCTCTTTTGAAAAGTGTCTATTTAGGTCCTTTGCCCATTTTTTGATTGGATTGTTTGTCTTCCTTTTGTTAAGTTGTATGAGTTCCCTATAATTGTTGGGGATTAAACCCTTACTGGTAATAACCTTGGCAAATATGTTCTCCCATGCAGTGGGCTTTCTTGTTGTTTTGTTTATGGTTTCTTTTGCTGTGCAGAAGCTTTTTATTTTGATGTAGTCCCATTTATTTATTTTCTCTTTAATTTCCAATACCCTAGGAGCTGTATCAGTGAAGAAATTTCTTCGGCATATGTCTGAGATTTTGTTGCCTTTGGATTCCTCTAGTATTTTTATGGTTTCCTGTCTTACATTTAAGTCCTTTATCCATTTTGAGTTTATTTTTGTGTATGGTGTAAATTGGTGGTCTAGTTTTATTTTTTTTTTGCATGTATCTGTCCAATTTTCCCAACACCATTTATTGAAGAGACTGTCTTGACTCCATTGTACGTTCTTGCCTCCTTTGTCAAATATTAATTGAGCATATTGGTTCAGGTCGATTTCTGGGTTCTCTATTCTATTCCATTGATCTATATGTCTGTTCTTGTGCCAGTACCAGGCAGTTTTGAGAACAGTGGCTTTGTAATACAGCTTGATATCTGGTATTGAGATTCCACCTACTTTGTTCTTCTTTCTCAGGATCGCTGCAGCTATTCAGGGTCTTTTTTTTATTCCAGATGAATTTTTGGAGAGGTCGCAATGTTTTTATTGATATTCCTCACAGGTGTTTCTTGACCTGACCCCACCTACCTTTCTAGAGCCATCTCAGGTCACTCCTGTCCCTATTGTGTATGTGAAAACCATGCTCATCTTCATAAACAGCTGATTACCACAGGGTCATTAGAAATGGTATTATCATTGTCTCATGCTTCTCCATATGCCGGTTAGGGTAGTTAACCTTCTAGGTCAGTGGTTCTCAACCTTCTTGCCCTTTAAATACAGTTCCTCATGTTGTGACCCAACCATAAAATTATTTTCGTTGCTACTTCATAACTGCAATGTTGCTACTGTTATGAATCGTAATGTAAATATCTGATATGCAGGATGGTCTTAGGCAACCCCTGTGAAAGGGTCGTTCGACCGCCAAAAGGGTCGAGACCCACAGGTGGAGAACCGCTGCCTAAGTTTTAACCTCAATGACACTTACTTCTCTTTTCTTCTCTACCTGCAAGTTAAATCTTCTTCAGACATTTTCTTGGAACTTTTAGAAGACAAATCACTCATAGTTAACCCTTTAAATTTCCCACAACAATAAAAAATGCACATGGTCAGGGACCTTATTATCTTGCTGAGCCTTATACTTTGGTCTACAGCATATGGCTTGGTCCACAATGGTTATTAAATGAGCATTTGGTGATTGATCCAAGTTGTTTCTGTTGTCTAGAATTCTATCCTTGGATGAAATGCTGTTCATTCTTCAAGACACAACTCAAGTGTTACCTCTAGAGAATGATAATGGGTTCTTACCTTAGATTTGAGTTTACTTGTTCCCCAGAAGCACACTATGTAGGTTATCATGTGCTTGGATAGGCTTCTCATGTAGTGTGGAGGTTATATGTGCTCATGTCTGTTTCTTTCAACATGTCTGTCTTTGAGAACTGTGACTATGACTCATTCATTTTACATTGCCAGAACCTGACATGACACCTCCATACAGTGAGTGCTCAAAAACTATTTCTACTCATGAATGAATGGGTTATTGCATTTCCCAATTATCACATTAAAGTTTATTTCTTTTTGAATACATGAAGTGGATGAAGTGAAGCAAACAAGGATACTGGGTATCCTGGATCTAGTCTGAGCTTTATCACTAAATGACAAATGGAAAAAGAGTTAACAACTCTGATATTTAGCTTTCTTTTGTATAAAATAAAGAAGATGCCAATGATGACTTCTAAACATCTCTTTTACCTGTTAAATGTGTAATTAAAGTAGTAAATGTAAAAGGTGTAGAACATAAAGGTGAAGGACTACTTATATGACATGCATCAACTTTTGTGACTAAACTTTGATAACATTTGGTTTATTTTAAAATATGCCTTTTCTCCTAAAAGAGAATTTGGGGGAAATCTGATTATTTGAAATATGGAGATTCATTGAACAAAACAAGTCAGATGACAGAGCTCTCTCTGTTTAGTACAATTAATATATATTGAGGTCCTGGACTAAACTTTAGAGTAAAAAGAAGAATAAGATGAAGCCTTACCCTTCTTACAGGAGAAGCAGACATTCAGATACAATCATCTCTTCATATGTCTGGGGGATTGGTTCCAGGGCCCCCATAGATACCAAAATTTATGATGTTCAAGTCCCTTATATAAAATTGTATATTATTTGCTTATAACCTTCATACACCCTTCTATGTCGTGTGTGTTTCCTTCCAGGTCCTGCGTGGATTAGGGTTTGGGATCTGAAAAGAGGAGCCGCACACAAATGAGAGAAAAAAGACAATTGACAATTTTGAAATGTTGGGGAGCCAGGCGGGCAAGTCCAACTCAAGGAGAGGGACTTCCACTGATGCTCAGGCCCCTCCAACCTTTTATTGATCTGGAATAACCCTTAGGTAAGGAGATTTCAATGACACAGGGATTAGCTCATCAGCAGACAATTTTCAGAAATAGGCAGAATATCTAATCAACAATAATCAACAAGGATTTACATAAGTATCTAAGGAATTAAGTGAACTAAGGTGGGGATGATGCTTCAGCTACCATTAGCTAAATTAACTGGGTGATTTCTAGATTAAGTGGGTGATTCACAGCCCTGACCTTTATTAGGGCTTCAAAGGTTACTAACTTTTGGGGGTCTCTGTCTATACTCAGCTAGTGAAGACAATAAATGGACTCTGGCACTTCTATATACTTTAAATCATCTCTGGATTACTTGTAATACCTAATACAATGTAAGGGATATGTAAATAGTTGAAATACTGTATAGTTTAAGGAATAATGGCAAGAAAAAGTCTACCTGTTCAGTACAGATGCAGCCACTGTAGACCTAACTACCTACTAAATCTACAGGTGCAAATTTCGTGGATATGGAGACCAACTGTAATTAAATCCAAGACAAACAGCTAACATTTGTATAGCAATTACTATATGCCAGGCACTGTTCTAAGCAGTTTATTATAATCTCACCTTTTTTTCACAATTGGCATAAGAAATTGATATTATTATCCTTATTTTGAAGATCATAAAACTGAGAGTGGCCAAGTGACCATCTATAGTCAAACAACTAGCAGGAAGTGGTAGAACTGAAGTTTGAACCCAAGAGGTCTAGCTCTAAATTTCTGTGTTTAATTATCATTCTAAAACCCTACCTTTTCAATCAGTGTGATACCCAAAATAATAGATACATGCAATATAAGATCATAAAATATCACAAAGAGTAATGTTCAGAATGTAGTGGTTAGGAAAGGCTAAGTAAGGAAAAACCACCTAAAGCTAAAGATGGTATAATGCATGGAGTACTGAAACAGGAACCTGCTGTCTGTCCCATCATGTACCAACTACATTGCTGTGGTCCAGTTGCTTAAGTCTCCCCCAGCCTGTGTTTTCATCTTCAAAATCATGGCAATAAAACCTACATCATAATGTTTTAATATATTTTTACTGATTTAAAAGAGGAAGGGAAAGGAAGAGAGAGATAGAAATATCAATAATGAGAATCATCGATTGGCCGCCTCCTGCATGCCTCCTACTGGGGATCAAGCCCACAACCTAGGCATGTGTCCTGACCAGGAATCAAACTGTTACCTCCTGGCTCATAGGTTAACACTCAACCACTGAACCACGCTGGCCAGGCTACATCATAGTTTTATCATAAAGGTTAAGTCAGAAATGTGTATTAATGTATTTCTCCTAAGTGCCTGCAACCATATTCTTGACTTCACATGTAATTTCAGAACCTGTCATCTAAAAGTGAAGTCTATGTTTCTGCCCTTTAACCTGGACAGGCCTTTATTACCTTTTCTGGCTTCTTTATGACTTTTGAGGCAGGTTATTAAAAGTAATACAGCTTTCACCTGGCTCTCTCATGGGATGATTGACCTAGAAACCCAGCCATGAACTGTGAGGAAGCCCAGGACACACAGAGACACTCAATGACGAGTCACTAAGGCTCCTGATCCTCAGCCCTGGCTTGCTCTAACTTCCCAGCATGTCAGTGAGCCATCTGGAAAACAAATTATTCAGACCTCAACTGAACTGACACTGGATGAAGCAGAGATGAACCTTCCTCACAGAGCCTAGACCAGTGATCGGCAAACTCATTAGTCAACAGAGCCAAATATCAACAGTGCAAAGATTGAAATTTCTTTTGAGAGCCAAATTTTTTAAACTTAAACTATATAGGTAGGTACATTGTTATTAACTTAATTAGGGTACTCCTAAGCTGGCCTTTGCTAAAAACATCCTCAATCTGATTGAGGTACGTTAGCTGAGGTCGACCCCTTCCAACTCTCCCATCCACACTCGTCTTGTATACTTGTTTCGTCTATCTCCTTTCAGAAAACCGACTTCTGCGCATGGGCCACGAAGTTTCAATCACACTGTACATGTGTGCCTGCACATGGTATTTTGTGGAAGAGCCACACTCAAGGGGCCAAAGAGCCACATGTGGCTCCTGAGCCATGATTTGCCGACCACTGACCTAGACCAAATTACAGATTCATGAGCAAAATAAATGACTGTTATAGATGTAAGACACTAAGTTGTGGTATGAAGCAAGAGATTACTGGAACATATTTAAATCAGATAATACATATAAAGTACTTAATATGGTATATGATTTATAATACATTTTTTAAATTTCTTTATTGATTAAGGTATTACATATATGTCCTTATCCCCCCATTACCCTCCATCCCCCTCACTCATGCCCTCACCCCCCTGTTGTCTGTGTCCATTGGTTAGGCTTATATGCATGCATACAAGTCCTTTGGTTGATCTCTCCCCCTACTCCTACCCTCCCCTTACTTCCCTCTGAGGTTTGATGGTCTGATCAATACTTCTCTGTCTCTGGATCTGTTTTTGTTCATCAGTTTATGTTGTTCATTATATTCCATAAATGAGTGAGATCACGTGATATTTATCTTGTTCTGACTGGTTTATTTCACTTAGCATAATGCTCTCAGTTCCATCCATGCTGCTGCAAATGGTAAGAACTCCTTCTTTTTTACCACAGTGTTATATTCCATTGTGTAGATGTACCACAGTTTTCTAATCCACTCATCTGCTGATGAGCACTTAGGCTGTTTCCAAATCTTAGCTATGGTGAATTGTACTGCTATGAACATAGGGGTGCATATATCCTTTCTGATTGGTGTTTCTGGTTTCTTGGGATATATTCCTAGAAGTGGGATCACAGGGTCAAATGGGAGTTCCATTTTTTAGTTTTTTGAGGAAACTCGATACTGTTCTCCACAGTGGCTGCACCAGTCTGCATTCCCACCAGCAGTGCAGGAGGGTTCCCTTTTCTCCACATCCTCTCCAGCACTTGTCATTTGTTGATTTGCTGATGATAGCCATTCTGCCAGGTGTGAGATGGTACTGCATCATCATTTTGATTTGCATCTCTCAGATGATTAGTGACTTTGAGCATCTGAAATGAATAACATCATATAATACATGTTTAATTAAAGATATCTATTAACTAGTAATGTTGTACAATAAACATTAGGATGACAGACCTGGGAGTCAGTTTGCCTGAGTTTAGATCTTATATTTTCCTCTTATTAGCTATGTAACTTAGGTAAGTTACATCACCTCTCTGTTTCAGCTTCTCATTTGTAAAGGAAGTTGATCACTGTACTCACTGCATTGGGTTGTTGTAAAAATTAAATGAGTCGCAGTTCCCCAATGGGCCATGATCTTCATCATAGCCAAGACTTTGTAGTAGTTGTTGCTCCTCCTCCTCACTCCTTCTTATAGATCTCAAGTTAGTGAGTTCATCCTTGAGGAAACTTCTGACCTTTCAGGTTGAGGTGGCCGTCTTGTTGTTCCCAGAGACCTGTGTGCTGATTCATTGTTGACACTGGTACTGGGTACAGCTTTCTTTGCACAGAACTCTTCTGTGGGTACCTTCATAGGTGGTCAGGACCACAGCCTATGCCTCTGTCATTGCCACTGAAGCACGAATCTGTTCTAATCTTAAGGTTGCCAAGTGAGAAAAAGGCCTTTCTTCTTTCTTTGATCCCATTTTTTTAAAGCACTGTCTTAAAGGGGACCTAGAGCGATGCTGTTGTGACTCAGCATCATACTAAGACTGTGAAAAGTGTATTTGCAAGAGAAACCAAGATGGCGGCATAGGTAGACACCGGAAATTGCTGCCTCACACAACCACTTCAAAAATACAACTAAAAGACAAAACGGACATCTTCCAGAACCACAGGAAGGCTGGCTGAGTGGAGATTCTATAACTAGAAGGAAAGAGAAAAGCACTGAGACTCAGAGGAGGAGCGGAAGTAAAGTGCAGAGGTACGGAGGCGCACGCTGAAAGGGCTGGCAACTGAGGACGCGGCACATATGGAAAGGGCTGGCGGCTGAGGATGTGGTTGTCTGTTTCAATTGGGAGAGAGTCTCAAGCTCCCAACTGCTCTGAACTCCAGTTCCAGGCGAGTCTCTGGGGACCCAGACTCATATAGGGAGAAACTAGACTGTCTGGCATTGGGCAGAACTCGAGGGCGGCTTTCTCTCAGAGGTGCTTGCAGTGATTACAGGGACATTGAGACACAGGGCCTCTTAGGGTAGGACTGGGGAGCAGCCATAGCTGCTTGCTCCGCCCTGTTGATCCCCTGAGAACCCGCCCCACCCAAGCTGTGCACAGAGGCTTTTGCATATGAAAGGCCTGGCCCTTTGTAAACTGAAAATTACCTAACAAACTGCAGCTGGGTCAGAGAGACCCAGAACTTCCAAAAGAAGGCCCAAGGCCCCACAGCAGCTTGCATTGCTTCACAGCTGGGCCTCATCTGGGCACCTCCAAACCCCAAACAAAGAAGAGGAATCTCTCCATAGCTCCTTCTGGGTAGCCTCAGGCAGAGGCTAAATTAGCACCTCCTTAGAGATCCAAGAGCCAGTGTACCCAGTGGTCAGAGTGGGACCATCTAGATTACAACTCCTCAAGATCCATAAGGGACACACTCAGGGGGCAGACTCAGTGAGCACCAAACCCCCACTGAAGCAAGTCTTGCCCCAGAAGTGTGTCTCCAGCACAGAAGTTCTCCCACTGCAGACACAGCTGATTCTTATAGCCAATTGGCCTGGAGGTCAATTCCTCCCAGAGATACCTATAACAGTCAAGACTTAACTACAACAAGTCTGTGCACAAAGCCCACAAAGGGGTGCACCAAGAGTGTCCACCTCAGGTAACTGGGGAGGCTGAGCCACTGGGCCCTATAGGACACCTAACACAGAAAGCCACTCTATCAACACAGGGAAGCATAAAAAATGTGGAGACAAAGAAACAGGTCACAAATGACAGAAATGGAGGAAAACAAACTACTGGATATAGAGTTCAAAACCACACTTATAAGGTTTTTCAAGAATTTTCTAGAAACCGCCGATAAATTTAGTGAGACCCTCAAGAAATCTAGTGAGACCCTCGAGGTTATGAAAAAGGACCAACTAGAAATTAAGCATACACTGACTGAAATAAAGGATATTATGAGAGTTCCAACAGCAGACCAGAGGATCACAAGAATAAGTCAAAGGTTTGAAATACGAAGAAGCAAAAATCA